CTGGTAATTATGAAAAAGGATTCAATTAAATATTAGTAACAAATTAATGCAAAATTTTTTACTTTACGAACATTATATCCATCTTTGGATTAAAGTGATAGTATAGTATCATTAATCACTATATAAATGATGTAGTATCACTATATGTAAGTATATATGTGTGCTTAATGGTTTAATTGATTTAAACATTATTAAAAAATTAATGTAATATTTTACTTGACTATTAAAATAATTTATGTTATAAAATAATCATTAAATAAAATATGATGATACTATATGTATACACCTAATTGAAATTCATTCAAAACGTTTAAATTTGTCTTAAAAATGTTTTTTTATTATACAAATCTCTAATACTAACTCACTATCATTCTGTCTCTCTCTCTCTCTCTTTTATCTTCTCTAATTACTTGGAATACACTTATTTCTCTTGTTATAGTTGGTAAAACGAGGGCATCAAATTTATGAAGACCGAATAGCTCGGATAATGAACTAATATTTGTTAATCTATAGATTAGCGGTTTAATACCCTTGCACTGTACTGTTCCTGTATAATCCTACACATATATACACGTATCTATATTCTATACAAATATATATATATATATATCTATGTATTTGTAAGTTTATGAAATTAGGCTTGCTATCACCAAAACTACGATTAACTTTGTGTACAACATAAAACTTTGGTAAAACCAAGAAAAACTGTATATATTAAATGAAAAGATGTATAAAATAAAAATATAAAAAGCTACTTATATTTAATGTATTAATATACACATGTACACACGTGTGTATGTATTTGTGATTTTACGAATAGTAGGGTTGGCTATAATTAAAACAAAAATTACGATAAACTTTTAAGTACCATACGAAATGATGATGGAAAACTAGAAAAATGTGTACCTATGTGTTAAATGAAAAGATGTAAGATAAAAAAACAAAAAAAAATGGAAACGACGTGCGAAGAAAGAAAGAAAAAAGAAAATATTGCATTCTATACCTGTACTCACCGATCTTCGATATGTTCCTGTCATAATCTCTCTGAGCTGAAAACTGAAATGAGAAAAAAGAAAAACAATTGAAATATACCGTTCGTGAAATATCATCTGTTAAGAATTAAAATAATAATTAGATAACGAGTACATATATATGTGTGAAAATATATTTTCTTTTCTTGAAACACGTTAATGAGCTATTAAACATGAAAGAAAAAAAAAAAAGAAAAAGAAAGAGATCAAAGGAAAGAAAATTATTGGACCGTATTAATAAACTATTTACGCAAACGTGTTTATACGTTTTATACATGAAATTATTTACTGAAACATCCTTTGCCACTTGGTGGAAATATTACAAACGCACTACTTCACTCTTTCTCATTTCATTTCTATCTATTTATCCATATTTCTATCTTCCTATCTTCCTATCTCCCTGTTTACAAGATAAATCGGAATATATTAAGAGAATTTAACAAATTTATGCATAACAGACACACATGCACACATAGATTGACACAGAAATATATTCGAATCTCGTTAATTTGAATTGTACAATTAACGAGATAAATTCGAACGATATTTTTCTAGCAAATCGATCAAAATATTATTCTTTACTAAATTATAATGCAACATTTTTTTATCGAAACTTTTGCATACTGTTGGAATGAACCTAAAATTGTTATACCTTTTTATTTCTTTTTATTTCTTTTTATTTCTTTTTTCCTTTACTCACTTCCTAATTTTTATATATTAACAACAACTTGAATTGTGATTTATTTTTCTTTAAAAACAAGTTCTTAAAACTTTGAATGTTGACGAACGTGTTTGGGATTTCTAATATTAGAATGATTTCATTTCTATACGTATGAAAATATTGATGTATAACCCATTTACTTGGCATATTATTAGCATCCTATATCTAAGAGATTAGAAAGGTTTATAGATTATGGTATTCTAGTTTATCCTTAATCCTACTCTTACACTTTAGACTCTTTTAATTGTCCTTATCTACTTATTGAAGTAAAAAATCAATGATTATGATCAGCCTGTGCCTGTGTCCCACCCCCCACAGTCACGTGGATGATTCGAATTCAATGATGTTTGCCAACTCGTTGAATTTATCTCAATTCCATTAGCTAGGTAACTATATTTAGATCGAGAACGAAAGCAATCTTGTTGCAAGGTCATTACTTGATTTTCTCCTAAAACACGGATCATCAGAGGATTTCTTCTCATCTCGAAAGCTTGCCAATCGAAATCGTTTGACTTTTTTAGATACCTTCCAACTATATCCTTCAAATAGTTGGATTTGACAAGACACCACGTTTTCTTCTACCGATAAATAATATATTTAGAATAATAATAATAATAATCTTGTTTGTATCGAATATTGTGCATTCATCTTAGATAGGTGAATTTATCTTTTTCCAATTGTTTCTATAAAGGTACGATTTAATTTTGATATTTAAATAAATATTATCTATTTTAAGATATCCGAAAGAATATTTAAAAGTAAACGAATTTTTTCGGATAACGAAAAAATCAATAGCGTTGTCCTGGCCGAGGGTTGTTGGAGCCGAAAACGATGCCAGTGGCATCAGAAAAGTGGGAAGAAAAAAAATAAAACCTTTCGTTCCTGTTGAAAATGTTGCATGAGTGTTCTTCGCATTAGCGAATACCTTGTCTTACAACCTTTTTCCTAAATTCCTTGAGGGTATAGTTAGAAGAAAAAGTTTACACGATTCACGGTACTCGAATATTATATATAAAATAGTATATATATATATATATATGTGTGTGTGTTGGTTGTATCTTTGAAGAAAGTTGGAGGAAGTAATCTCTTGTGGAAAATTGCGAAACTGAGAAGACATATAAGAGGTCACAAGTCAAAACTCTATCACAAAATTGTGTGTAGTATATGAAATCTTTTTGAAATACATATAAACATACAACTAATATAACTGCATTCGTAGTTTCGAGAATTGAAGCGAAATCATGATCAAAGTAAACGTGAAATATCTACAAGTGAAATAAATGAGAGGACTGTTCTCTCTAACTAAAAGAAAAAGAAAGAAGAAAAAAAGTATAATCAAAACTAATTTGATCTAAAAAAGAAATCTTTAGTGTCACGTGTTACACGAAATACAATCTGACGAGAAATGAACCTAAAAAAATGTGTCATAAAAATTAATTCATATTTTAAAAAAGAATATATACATATATATATAGAATTTAATATGAAACGATTCAAGTTTGTAAAATATGATCTCGAAAATAAATCGGGAGAAATTTAAAAATTAAAAAGAGAAATAAAAAAAAAATAAGCACACATATTTGTCATAGATTAATTAGTAATAAAAGACAAAGTTAAATTACGATTGTTAAAAATAATATCACGTCGTGGTATTAACAATGAAGATAACTTTGGTTAACAACTTCATCAGAGGGAAAACTGTACGCGGTTTTGTTCGTGTCATGGTGCAAGCTGGATTATATTTGAGGTCGGTGAGCTGTTCGTTCTACGACTAGTCTGATCCTCTATAAGATAACTAAGAAAAGCGAGAGATCCTAGGTTGGATGAAACATTGGACATGAAGACTTCATCAAAATGCTACCTGAAGAGAAAACGTGAAAATCTCATTCCTCGTTATTATCTTCCTTTCATTCTATCCCTTTTTCTGTCTTTACACCCCCAAAATCAAGATTATTATTATTAAAACAAAAACATATATTACTACCAATCAAACCCACTTGCTAATTTCCATTAAAATCGAACAAACCAATACATTTTTTTAAATGATCTAACGTTGAACGATTTTGTTTTTTCTTTTTTGGTTGTTACAAGAATTCAACATTTTTCTTACATTCGTAATATTTTGTTACAATTTTTACACGCAATATTTTTTAAATTTAATATTACGAATAAAGAATTTCAGTTCATACAGATCTTTGACAATTTCAACAAGATTCATAAGAAAAATATTCGATTGGGAATGTACTTATGTTTCCAATTGTAATTAAAAATACAAATTCTCATTTCTTAAATTGAAAAAAAAATAGAAAATAATATATAACGCGTCAGAATTTTTTGTTTTAAGACAAATAAATCCACTTATTATTTTCTTACGAAATATTCTGGTTTTCCTGTATTCATCTAACAATTTCACACCTCTACAAATTTAATAATGTAATTATTAAAATGTATTATACGTAACACAATCACACAATCATTATTATTGTAACAATCATAAAAAAAAACAAGATATATAAATGAATTTGCTTTCTTAAGTCTCGTGATGCCACCTCGCAACTGTTTTTATTGGTTTGACAACGACTAATATATTTCATCGATTATTTTAACAAAAGAAAAAAACTAGAAGGAAGAGGAAACACATTGTGTCGTTACTTTTATTCCAAAGGGATATAATCCCTATCCTTTCTTCCTGATCCTCATCCTTCTTACCCCCCATCCCCCACTCTCATCCCTTTCATCGTGTAAATATTTGCGATTGGGAAAGCACCGAGTTCGGAGTAATAAAAAGAGTATTTTATTTCGGAATAAAAAGGGAAGAAGAAAAATTGATTCCTTTTTGTATTGCTGATCATAAATCACGTAAATTCGGACACGCGATCGGTTGTTTTTTAAGTTGTAGTAGTAATAGTATTGGATTGATAAATAAGTTGGGATTTTTAGTTTGGCAACTAAGTGAGTACGGTTACTTTAATAAAAACCTACAGAAAAAAAGCCTATAAATAAATGATTAAAAAATAAATTTAATATTATATAAGAAATAAATTTAAAATATTATAAAGAGATAGAAGAGAGAGAGAGAGAGAACAAATTATTAAAATAAATTTAAAAATGTGCCAATTATTTCAACTTTCCAACTAACTTTATTTTCTCAATGTTTTTTTTTTTTCATTCTTCTTCGATTTGTTTTCGTTTCGTTTCGTTTCGTTTACCGAAAGAAACATCCTCACCCTGATCTTTCTCACTTTCATCCGTACTTTTAAAATGCCAAGAATACACGAGTAAAGGTAAAAGGATTCGTGACAAATCGTATTACCTACTCTTGTAAGATTTTTCTTAACTCGTCAAACTCAAACACAACACGAAAGATTTGTGTAATATTAAATACATTTATTCATAGATCTATAGATACATATATATAATTAATTATTAACACGTTATATTATATAGAAAATGATTATCTTTTTTTAAATAATAATATTCTATTTATCTATCTCATTTTATTCATTCGAAAGTGTAAAAAAAAAATAAGAACATCTATAGGAAACATTGAATTTATATTAACTCAAGTATAATATCGTTCATATACATATGTACATATATACTTATACGTATACTTAGGTGTACAGGTAAAAACATATTATCGGAATGAAGTATTTAAATGTGCACGTCAAACGTATCTTCACAAAAGGTAGAACTCGTAAAGTTCTACATGGTTGAGCTATAATTAACGGTGTGTAAAAGAGAAAGAGAGGTGAGGAAAGGAGGAGGAGAAGGGTGGGTGKGTGGGTTTTTGCGGTCGAATTTACATATAATTTGAATTAAAACGTTTCATGGTATGAAACGCGGAAAGTCGATGATTCGGCTTGCGGTCGTACGTTTTGGACCAAAGCCAAAACTTTCCCTGCGATTTCCTGTCTTTATTTCACATTTTTGTGGGAAATTTTGGAAGGATAGAATACAAGGATAGTCTTCCTCTTTTTCTATCTTTTTCCTTCTATTTCACTCTTTCTTTCTATTAGAATAAGTCATTTATATCAATTACACGTTATTTTACTTTCCATTCTAGTGGAAAATCATGCGTATCGATCATTTACACGTTTCTGAATATTATTTTAAAATTAGGTGCACTTTGAAAATTTGAAGTTTACATTCTTACTAATACATACATATATATATAGATATATATAATGAATCATAGAAGTATTAGTATTCGTTTTTGAAATAATTTATATTCGTATGTAATGCACATTTGGCAAACAAAAAAATTGTATTACTTGAAAATATTAATCCTTTAAGTTATACAA